GAGGAGGAGGAGGAGGAGAAGCGGTGAGAAAGCAGAGAAAGGCCTCGTTCCCCTGCCGGCTGTGGAAAGCTGGAGCGGTTAGCTGAGTTTGAACGCGGTTGTGCTCTGTGGCGCCTGAGTGAACTGTGCAGTTTCTGGCAGTTTAGTGTTTTCTGTTTCAAAATAAAAGAACAACTTAAAAAGTAAAGCGCGAGAAAAAAAAACAAATGGGTTAAAGAAAAAAAAAGTAGTCACACTGCGACGATGAAAGGAAAGATACAGACTCGTCCGTTCTCGTTTTCTGTCTTTGTTTTTTTTTTTGTTTTTTTAAATTATTTTTAACCTGTAGACTGTGATTTCATTGCCATGGGATTAGGGAATGTGCGCTGCCATGGCAAATGTATGAGGAAGAGATTTTTTTGTCTTTTTTGTTTTTTTTCTTATGAGTGAATCACGAGCCATGCACTTATTCTCAACTATGAATGACCCTTCACGACCCGAAACCCGCCCGCCCTCTCCCGATAGAACGAAAAGAAAAAACACCCTGTCGGTATGATACGAAAGATCTGCACACGTAAGGCAACATTTTTGGTTTTTTGTTCCCTAAAACGGCTCTTCCAAACCAAGTGCAAAAAGTCAAAAGAATAAGAAGAAAAAAGGGCAAAAACAACAAACAAAAAGATGAACGCAACCTGGGTCGACAACTTAATACTGACAGAGAGAAAAAAATAAATAACAAAAACATTGCCTTCTGCAGTAAATAGCGCTGAAAATGAAGGAGACTTATTTTTTAGTGTGGGCAGACCGGCTGGAGTCTATCCCACTGTGCAAAAACCTCTTTTAAAGTCCCTAAAAAGACTTCTCCCCACCTGCGAAGAGGCAGAGAAGGAGAAAAAGAGGGGAGACTGGTATTTTTTTTTTTTTTTCCTAAAATGGCTACGTGTTTTCCTCAAAATGGCCACGAATGGGGACGATACTGGCTGGCTGGGCCAGAGCGCTCACTCCCGCCCACTGGCTGAGTAGGAGAACTGTGGGAAATGAGGCCTTCGCTCGTTGTCCGCTGCGTCCATCCCGTCCTCGTCATCTGCGGAGACAGAAACAGAGATGTAGTCACACGAACACAAGCCGGCTGACATTTCATTCTGATAAGAATAACAAAGGGTATGTCCCAGTGATAAACGCCTCATCTGTAGCGCCCAGGAAATGTTTGGTAGTTTCACATAAATGTATTCGATATAATTTGCCATGAAAGCACAAAATGAGAGTTGAGCTGCATCAACACACTCCTAACATGATCCGTCCCTGGATAATGGAGTCCACTCGCCCTCCAACTCTCTCCATGACTTCTGTGGAGGTCTCAGGAGGAGCTCTAGTCCACATCCTCAACTCAGACCCTCTACAGCTGGAGGACTGAAAAGGACTCAAATCATTTAGACAGCTCAAAATCATTTACCTGAAAATATCCAAAAATGATTTAAAACTAGAGAAAAGTGCTTCGAGAGATATTTGTATGCAAACTGTGAGGAACACTGGAAAATAATCCTTTAATTTTTGTTAAAGGTAATGAGAATATATGTGGTATGAGGTTGAAGGAAAGCACTGATT